AATTAAAATGGAACTACCTAGGAATTGACTTTTTACTTGGAGATATAATCATAAGGAAATCTTGTGTACCACTCATTTTCATGAGTGTCAGCAACCAGCTTAATATTGCATATTTGTTTAAAGATTAAGGAAGCTTTTATCAGATTAAATAATTGCCTCAGTTCCATCTTTTTATTCTTAACAGCTTAAATCAACTGGATTCAAAGATTTCTTCAGGACTGAATCCAGGAAAGATTATTAACTGCCTCCAAGATGCAAGAAGAACTGGAAAGCAAATTTAATCCCACTCAAATTTTGTGGGAACCTGATAAACAGCAGCAATATTTAACTGACATTTCAAAGCTCGGAAGCAGAATCATTGAATTTGTTAGCCTTTAGATTTATTCCTTCATTTTGCTTTAGTGCAGGAAATGTGGTGCAGCAAAAACTAGTCAAATATTGCAGAAATCAAAAAAGCAAACTAATATACTGAAAAAAAAAGGTTCACATTCACTGGTGCAAGTTCATGCTGAGCTGCAAAGTGTAATGACTGATTCTACATCTGGTTATTTAAGTTCCAGTCATGCTATTTCCATTGGCAATGTTATACAACAGTTGAGAGACTCTACTATAAAAAAACTGAATAAAAATATCCACATCTCCACATCCACCTCAGCTAACCCTTTGCTTATTTCTATATTCAAAGCAACAGGGCATGCTCTAGTAGAAATCCCAGGGTAGCAAAAATATGGATCAACCCCCACCCTGTCCATAACAGCACAGGTATGTCACAGAAATGTTCATAATTAATCTAATTAAAGTAACTTCCAAAGCCCTAAACACATACACGGATGACCTGGCCTTCATCCAAGTGAATTTATGCTCTCCCCAAAGTACATGTCTTCCTTCCAGCACCATCAGTGCTGAGAAAATACAGCACCCTGAAAGGAGAAGTGGGAAAAGCTTCATGCAACTCAAGCAATTATCAGATTACATCTCAAGACAGTGTTGGGAAGTGCGTGTTACAGACCTTAGGGGCTTCTATCAGTAATACTGATGCTGAATTATGGGGAATAAGGAAAACTACCACAGGCATCATGCCATTTTCTAATAACATTACTTCTACACCAGTCAGAAACACCTACACAACTACTGAAATAGAATATCAACAGACATCAGTCAATTGGAAACTTGATGAATGCTGGAAAACCAACTATTTGGACTATTATATCTACATTAATGGTGATATATATGTGCATGGATTAGACTGAGTAAGCAGAAATGGCAACTGGAAAGGAAGATTGCTGCAAACGGCATTTACTTACAGATTTAATTAAAAGTTTAGAGAAAAGAGTATTATCATATGACATTTGCAAAAGCTGCTGAAGATAGTAAGAAATTGCTAGAATTTGCTTCTCTGAAACAGCCGAGAGCCAGTGACTTCAGAAACACATAATATCTGCATCCCAAACAGTAACTCTTTAAATTTCTTAGTCAAAAACCTTATGCCATTGGTCAAAAATAACCACTACCTAATTATTGGTATATTCATGTGCGATCCACTGACTAGTCCCTCTCCATAGCTATAGACATATTCAGAATATAGAAACAATCACTGAAAATGGCATAACCTGGCTGATTTTTCCCAGAGCCTAAGAACGGCTGTAGGTACATCACGAAGAAAATAAAACCCAGAACAAATAGAGAATAACCTTCTGCCTACAAAGTGGTTCCATACAGATAAGGCCAAGCTGACTAGGGTGGTAGGGGGATGAAACAGAAACATCAAAGATAGGAAGCTTTTTGCAATCCCTCAACAGTGTTGAAGGGTAGAGGGTGGGAGAGGTCACAGCAGCCCAAAGAATAACTTTATGTAGCATTTCAATCCCAACTGCAATCTCAAACCAGGGATTGACAGAGAAGTAAGCTTTGAATGCAAAGTGAAAAAATGAGTTTTACACCGGCTCAGAGGACTGAGTGAGTTCCAACAGCAACTGATGGGAGATGTCCATGAAATATTTCAGACAAAAACAAATACAAAATGAAAAACAACTGGGGCAGTCATCATGCATCCTCCTGATCAGCTGCGGAAATTTCTATCATAACACATAAATTTTCAGTATTCCTGTATTATAAGAAGCAAAGTTATGGTAGGAAATTCCTCCTTATTTTTCAAATCCAAATGACAACTAAGCACAGTATTTTACAAGTGAAAGCTGTACTACCTGCAGTGTCACATTTCCTGCTTAAAACAAAGTAAGAACTTGATCTCTATGTTTTCCAAAAAACAGTGTTTAGAAACTATCTCTAAAGTCAATGTACTCCCAGATGAAAATCTTGAGTCTCCCATCCTAAGGCTAAGCCTAGAGGGAAATGGTGGTAGCTCAGGTAATCACTCTGTAGTAATTACCACCAACAATTTTGTTTTCTAAAGGCAATAATTCTGGGTTTAGAACAACACAGAAAATTGTCTTTACATCCCTGGTATGAAAACTTTGTCTTATCCAATATGCCTCACCATCAATTATCTGGTAAGGATAAATCTTTTAGAAGCCATGAATGGTGTTGCAGAACCAATTCACTAAATCTGCCTTAACACACTTGAGAGATAATTGAGATGTCAAGCCTCATCAATATCAATCTACTCAAAGTAAGGACAAAGGGAGAAGGGAAGAATGATAATGAATAATAACATTATGTGAAGCTAGTTAACTTATAGCATAGAAAGAGATAAATATCAGTCACCAATCTAAATGTCCTTGAATTACATGGAAGTCTGGGCTTACAAGCAAGCTTAATTCCTTAAAAAGCTTCTTTCCATAGAAATTGATTATTTGTTTACAGAGTAGCAGTCTTTTTTTCTATTTTAACTTCCAAGATTTAACTTTTTTTTTTCCAACTCTAACTTAACGCACAGGAAGTAAAATAATGAGTTTGGACAGCATACAGGAAACATCAGTAAAATATTATTAAAAAAAAAAAAAAAACACTAAAATGCTTCCTGACAAGGCAGAGGAAGCAAAGTGCCAGATCTCTCAAGAGCTCCAAGCCTCAGAAGAGGCTTCTGCCAATTTTCAGCAGTATGAATGTTTCTCTGTGCCTTTCTCAGTCACTGGCTGCAGATCTCCTCCTAATCAATTCACAGGCATATACACCCCACCTTACTTTCTCAATGGTCTTGCATCCCATTTATCGTCCACTCACTTTGAAAACTGACATTGCCCACAATCGCGTTCCCTTCACCTATCCCTTCCTACCTATCTCTTTTTCCATTTCCCTCCGCCCCCCCCACCCCCCAACTCCTCCTTGTGATATCCCCTTCTCACAAAATAGCATCTCACTCTCTCCATCTGCTTCTTCAACCATCTGTTCACTCCTTCCCTTCCTTCTTGCTGGATAACTCCACAGTCTCTCTAGCGTAACTTCTCAGTCTCCCTGTAATATCCCTAAAAACTCTTTTCCTCTTCTGTTCAAAAATAGTAAGTACAGTGAGCGTTCCATGCTAGGCCTTGTTGGGGGGTGTGTGCAAAATAGATATCCATGAGTTTAACAACCCTTTGCCTTGTTGGGGGGTGTGTGCAAAATAGATATCCATGAGTTTAACAACCCTTTGCCTTGACAGCTGCAAAGTACTTTGGAAGCTTCATGTTTCACACTGCTCCGTTTTATTAAAAATGCCATGGCCAAACTAATCTGCTTTCCTTGATGGGGTATTCTGGCCAACAAATAACACTTTTTAAATCAACCTCATTAGCCATCTACAATCCCACAGTGTTTTCAGATTCCCCATCTTCAGGTCCACTGCCCTGAGCAGCTCTTTCTTGCCTGGCACCTGGTGTCATCCTCTCCTAATTCTGCTTGATTGTCTTCAATCTCATCCCACAAGCACTTCTCTGCCTTCTCCTATTCAGACACTCTCTGCCTGGAATCAGCTCTTGAAGCTGATTACTACTCCATTTCGCTCTTGATCACCCTCTCTTTTCTACTCTGCCAAAGACTGTCATCTTTATCACACACAGAACTAGAGAACCCTTCAATTTGTGATAGAGAGGAAAAATATTACATTTAAATACCATCAAACATCCATTTCCAAGTCTGTGCCTTTCTTCTTTTTAAAACACCTGGCTTTCTATTACCCATTTTATTTCCCTGCTTTGCTTCTTTTCACAATCCTTCACCTCCCAGTAGCTGCATTGTACATTCCTTTATGCCTAATCATTTTCTGTTCATCCCCTCGGTTTATGCCTTTTTTCCCTCTGTGCTTTTCAGTGAACATGGCAGGTTACTACCAGATCTTGTTCTGACTGAGAACAGCCTACGTCAGTCTGGGTGATACACAAATAACATAGCAATTAAAATTCAAGAAGTCAAAATCAGAGAGATAGCATTGACTCCCCTTCCATTTTCTTATCAGCTACTGACATTTGGAAAATTCCAACCAACTCAAACAACAAGATTTTGTCCCAGTTTCTCAGGAAAGTAAGGCTTGTAAGATAACAACCTGCTGATCGGTTCCACCCTAGACACTTCTGTACCCATAAGTCAGTATCAAACAATACAAAGACAGCAAGGACCCTGAAGTTATCAGTGGTGAAGCAAAGAGAAACCCAAATTAATATCTTCATTTGCTGTGAGATGCAGCAGCCAACTGACCTGATCTGCAGAGTAGTTTGGGCCACTCACCAATACATGCCTGGCTTGGAAGCAGCCAAAGCACCTCTGGCACATGCCCAGCGCCCAGTAAATGGAGGGAGCTGGAAGGACTGAGGGGAGCCTGATAATCAAAATAACTCTGTAAAAGCCAGCTTCCCTAAGTTTCCCTGCAAACAGTAAAAGGTTCAGGGGTTAGTCTCGTATATTTCACCCAATGCCAAACTACTGCCTATGCCATAGTTTCTAGATCATTTTCCAGGTCCAGAAGATCATTAAGAACACAACTCTGATGCACTAACACCCATAACACAGATGAAGCATTTTTCTTTTTGTTTCCCCGACCAGAGAAGGAACAACGTGCTCTCTACCTTTTCTGAATTATACTGGGATTTGCAGTCACCAGCTGTGTTTTCAATCCAACATCCTTGCTGTATTCACTGGATAGAGGAGGAAGGTTGCACCTGTGCACAGAAAGACAGTCAAGATTTTAAATGGCATTCAGGATTGACAGGCTTCAGCCTCAGTCTTTTTTAATCTGCAAGTTTGCAGGTGTGGGGTTTGTTGTTTTTTATTAAAGAAAGCAGGCTGTCAGAAAACATGAAGGTGCTGTATAAATATGAGACTACACTACAGGTGCTCCCTACTGTTTCACAACTATAAGCACAATAGGTCAGTTTTGTAGTAGATTGTTAGAAAATGCAGAAATAATACCTTTTGCAGAGACAACCTTATGTAACTACCAAGTAAAGACACAAACTTGGCATTTCTGACGGGCCGAAAGGCTGTGGAAGAAGCCATCATTATCTACAGAAAAGACTTTTTTTTATCAAAAAATGATTTTAAAGTCCTGTTTTTCACTCTATTCTGTGTTATTTACCAGTATCAGGCTCCAGACTATTACCACTCTGTTATTTTAAGATTACACATCTTGCAAAAAACAGGCAACTGTCTTTTTTAATATTAGACTGTGGGGTATCTTCAGCATACAGAATTTACCAAGAAAACACAGAGAAAACAATTAAGTGGCTATTTAAATATGTGCATCTCACAGTCTTGCTCTGGTGGGCAGGGTGATAATGTAATAAAGCAAAAGTGACTGAGCAAATTTACTTTGGAAAGTAGAGCCAAGACTCAAAAAAATGAAGTCCTAAATGTACTGTAGTAAAGGCCTAGGAAAAGGAGGAAGCTGCAGCAGATAAAGATGAAAATGCATTCAAACAGTACTCAAGCCTATGCACTGCTCCGTAAATTACAGTCAGGAGAAATCTACTCAACAATCGAGGGTGCAAAGTCTTGGCTGCAATTTCATGTGTTTTGGTTTTGTGCAGCATCCAAGGGAGAGGGCACTAGTGTGCACACAGACTACTCTCTGCTATTTTTGTTAATGCAAAACATCCAGACTCCCTAAAGAAAAAACCACTGTCATGCTACATCTGCATGTATTTGCATACAAATACCAGCTCTCAAAACCATATTCTTAAATTCTCATCATCAGGAAATGCCAAGAAGGACAACAAAGCCCCATCTATATGGAACATAGATGTATTCAAACATATTCAACAAGAAAAAAATTAACATTTCCAGGAATATTATCTTCTTCACATGACTACATTGGTTAAGATGTGCACAATGCGTTGAGATTTCAGTTGGGAAGCAGCTTCTAGCTTGATTTACCACAGCTTAAGAGAAGCTAGATAACTTAAAAAGAAGCCAGAAAACAGGAATCCAAATAATAGGTCTCAGAAAATGCAAACTCTGATAAGGGGGAATAAAAAGGGGGGCAAGAAAGGCTAGAACCACAAGGGAAATTTAATTCCTAGACAAAAAGAATGATAAAACCTTAAAAATCAAGAAAGGTTTGAATAAAATAAAATATAATAAAATAAAAGCAATAAGTTGCTACCTGCACTGGGTAGCATACAAATTAATTTAAGGCAATTAATACTATTTGAAGAGGTTGTAGAAACTCTCAGCAGCAGTTTTCAATGGCAAGTCAAACAAATATTTGTGAAGCAAGATATATAGGTGTTATGCATCAGAGAACAAAGATGGTATAAATGACCTCTGGCAGATTACAGTATAATGCCTTCGGATTTGAATAAACACAAACTCATAGGCAAGCTTGTAAGAAGCCAATTCTAGTTGAAGTGTATTTGAAAACACTGTGAAGGACCAAGAATTCTCCCTAGTTCTTATTACCCTAACATCTCAATAATTAAATTTCTTTCACAGGCCAGTCTCAGATGCATTATTTAAACACATCTAATTCCTAAGTCTCATTCCCACCTTGTCTGCATGAAACATTAACAAATGGCCTGAGTATCCAGAGGAAACTGCAAGAAATCAGACGGTTGACAGAAACTTCTTCAATCTTCAGACTGTTTTCCTGAACAGGTCAGCAGAGTGCCAAGTGTTGTGCAGGTGAGGAACACACCAAGAAACAAAAGACTCATCCTAAGAAATTTCTTTTTTGTTATCTTACTCTTGCATCTGGTACTCAGGAGTAAGCATGTGAACATACAGAAAAGAAGGAAGCATCAGGCATTTCAGGACAGCATTTTTAACACGAGCCTAAACAGAAGACTGGAACATATTGGTCTGCCATATAGAAGAACAATATGACTTAGACACAGCCTTCAAGTGGGGAAAAAAAAGTCATCCAGAGGCAGAGTGGCCCTGTCTTTTTCACATCTGAGACCTTCCAACTCATAGGTAGGAACAGCTGCAACAGTAAAATGAAAGATACCCTTCGACCCCCACCAGGCAGAAATGGCTCTTCTGGGTTTGGTCCAGACAGAAGCCCATTTCCCCGCAGGTGCAGAGAATCTAGGCAACTTGGCTGATGCATGTGAGCTTGGTAGGTGCTGTGTGACTATTTTTGAATATTATCATATACTAAACACTAGGGACTAATACAAATTTAATATGTAATTGCAAACACTCATTTTATTTTCCTTTGTGACACCTTGGCCAATGTCAAGACAGTAACTGCATAAGGCAGCTGAAAGCCATGTTTACTTCTCTACAAACCCCAAAGTGCCTTCTCTCCACCTCTTTGGGAGACAAGCAAACAGCAGCAGAGCCATGGAAAGTGGTTGGAGGAAAGGGAGAACTGTGAGATGTAGAAATAGTTCTTCAAAATCTAATGACAAGAAAAATGTGGCTCTTCTGTCAAAATACAGACAAAAACATTGCTTAGGGTTTAGTACCCAACATTTCTCCCTCAAAATAATCATTAGCATAAAGGGAGGGGAAAAATAAATTTATTTTCTTAGAAATAAAGTTTACTAACTTGAAAACTATCCAGATATCAGAATTAAAACTAGCCAGATATCAGCCTATTATAACTACGCTACCTAAACACATAGAATCATAGACCAAATGCTATGCGTCTTTTTCATTGCATATGCAGTGTGCTATGCCTTAGGGCCTGAAAACTGCTGCTCTTTTGATCTCTATGTTAGTACAACTGTATTTGTAGAAAAGTCTCAGCAACAAGATGAGTTTAAACTCATTAATTAATCCTGGTGACGACAACAGATCAAAGACGATGGCTGCAGTCATATGACAAAGGTCATGGAAGCACACTCAAGTGAAGTCATAAAACCAAGTCCTTCCTTGAACTGAAGGAAAGAACAAGGGCAATACCTGGCATGACATTTTGCACTGCAGAAATATTTTCAAGATGTTACACAATTTTAAATTTTTTTTGTGAAATATGTTATGCAAGTGACTGCTGTGCTCCTTCTCTCTCAGCTCTCAGATTATCAAAATCAGCTTTAGAAAAGATCAACCAAATCCTGTCTTCCACCTGTTATAAAAATATATTCTCCCAGTAGTGCCTTAGTTGTGACCGAAAAGAACTGAAACTTTTTCCATAAATATGACTGCACATCACTGATACAATACAGCCTGCAGGCAGCTACTGGGATTTTTGCAGGATTCTCCCTATCACTTATTTCCAGTTCAAAAAAAGTTCTGCACTTATGGTAATGGTTGCTCTACCCTGCCTGGAAAGAAAAGGATTTTTCTGATCAGGCTGCAACAACTGATGGGTTTGTTTAGGTTTTTCTAAATAAAAAAGTTTCTATTGTTTTTGTAACTGATTGCTCCTGCAGCATTCCAATTTTCCATTGCATCTAGATAATATTGCCATGGTATATACCCTGCAGTTTCTTATATTTAGTCTGTGGAACACCCAAGGAGTTTTGCAGTAATGGCAATCAACACACTGCCTCTCTCCCCCTGTGCCTTACATCTTCTCTTCTGTAAATGCTCCAAGTATACATTTCCTTTTGCCTTTAGTTTGTTGTATTCCTTTGCTTTAACACTGAAGGCATTTTGTGTCTTTGAGTTGCAAACCTGAAATCACAATAACACTGATTAGTTTGCAGAAAACTTTTATGGCTTTATAATAAGCCATTGGGATCTCACAAGGAGACCCACTAAAGTGGGTGTTCATTATGTAACCCTCTCAAACCCTAAAGAAACCCCATTTCACAATCTCTTTGGGAGCACTCCTCCAGTTTCTCCCTTGTTCATGTTTAACAGGAAAGAACTAATTTCTGCCTTTCTTCCTTACAGAATGCAGACATAGAAGGTGTCAAATTCAATCACGAAAGCAGCAGCTGCTTCAGCATCCATCCTGACAGGTTCTTATAAATTCAGGAAGGCTGGAGGGAAAGGCAATGTGAGGAATTCCAAAAATTCTGCATCAAGGAAAGGAGGAAAGGTTTGGCCTTTCCTCAATCAGCCATCCAGAAGTCAATCTTGAGGGAAGAAAACATAAGAGCTTGCTCCAGCTCATGTCGTTAAGCTTTTCCCTGTAATTCAGTACCTACTGATGCCTATGGTGGCATTTAGAGTTGCAGAAGACAGAGCACAGGATGAGTGGCAGGATGAGACCGTGCCTAATGCTGCATAATTAAAAGAGAATAGCATCTACTCAGTATCTGTTTATCACACTGCACAACCTGCCAAAACCTGAACCCACACATATGCAGACAGTCCCCTCACTCTACACACCCATTTACAGAAGCCAGTCAAAACTCTTTTTTGCCTCTCCTCACACTTTGACCCAAATCACTTGCGTAAAGCATCCTGCAAAGGGGGCAGGAAAACAAAGCAAATTATAACTGATTAATCACAACTGAATAGCTTTGAAAAGTCCAAGATTTAACAGGGGGAAAGGGAGACAATGTGTCATTCAGGTTTCTGTCTTACCGCATCACAAAATCTGCTTGATCTATTTGTTTTCCGCAGCCGCTCTTTTTCAGGATCCCACCATTTCCCACCACAGAGCATTTCTTCAGTGGCAGCTGGAAGGGAGTAGCCTAGCAACACAAAACAAGGACCAGTTTGACAGAGAACACACACATCTTTGTAGCAGCTGCTCCTGGAGAAGCCGGGGAGCTGGCAGGGCTCAAAGTGAGGAAAGAAAAGGGAGAATTAGGAGCTAGGGAAAAAACAAAGTACAGAAATTAGCTGGTAAGTAGATGTAGGACAGGTCTTATCCCCACTCCCTAAAGCAGGACACAACAGACGTGATACAGAAAATAACATTTCTGCTAAACCAAAACTGCCTAAGGTCATGAGATAGATACTGACCAAGCCACGCAGAGTGAGCCTGCTAGCCAAGCTGCAAGGACACAGGGGAAATAAGACAACAGGAAAAAAGAAAAAAGGAAAAAAAAAAGGAATTTAAAAAAAAAAGTTCCATGAAAATGACCTTCCTGAGCTGATACACAAAAAGCACTGGGAAAGGAAGGAAGGAAGGAAGGAACAGGGAATGAGGTGTTGACAGAAGGGCACTGGGAATCCGGAGTCACCCTGGCTATCTCTGTGGTTGTTTTGCTGGGATAGGTCACTGTGAAGCCTTAGGCAAAGATATTTAGAGCTTGACAGCAACTCCTTAAACGCTCAGCTGCCCAGACACAGGATAAATTAAAATTAGAAAGAGACCATTTTAACTAAGGAACTCTTGTAGCTGCTTAGCAGGGCATAAAAGAACAAGGTCAAATTGTCACGCTAGCCTATGCAGTAATAAATTAGATCTGTGTAGTTGTCTTCATTCCAGAGGATCCCAAAATTACAGGTGGGACATGTTCCTGTTAGCCCCAAGTCATTCACTTTTAGTGATATCAGGACAGTCATTTAAACAGCACATAATGCAGCCCAACATCTAAAAAACAAAAAGATGGTGAAAATACACATGAATTTAAAGCAGTGCAATTTAGCTACAGAATGGATTTTTTTTACAATATAAGAGTTAATATTCTCTTAATGTAAAAAATTGTATAGGATTTTTTTATGTATCAACCCTGTCAAAACCTGACTTTGCAGTAGAGACAGAATTTACTACACAGGTCTCCAAGAATGCAGATGCCACAGCAACAGGATGCACCACCACAAAAGAATTATCCTCTCCAGGAGGAGAAGGTAGAATGATGGCATCACTTGTCCTCACTTGCATGTACAGAACAATGTCTGACATTGCATCATGTATGCATCAAGCACTGTAATAGTGTACATGGTCCAGAAACAGATCCCGCATTATAGCATAAATTGTATTTGTTAGGAATTATCTCTACTGTCTTACTTCTTTAGATTTATTTATCTTCTTTTCTCAGCAAACTAAGTTCCATTCAGCCAGTATAAAGCCACAACCTCCTTTCTAATGAAAAATATTAAAGCATTTTTCTAACTCTGGATTAAGATATGCAGAAAAACAAATTTTAGTTTCCTGAAGCCCAGCCACCGTTAGGAGCCCAGTAAGTGACAACATGGCAGTGCAATACTAAGTATGCAGCTGCACTCTTGTTCTGCATCTGCCTTCTCAAGAACAGTTTTTAATTTACACAGTTATTGAACTAGGAGCATATCTTGAGGTTTAAAGGACATCTCATCTCTGGGGTGACCCTGACCAAATGAGAGCTCAGATACTCAGTAAAGGATGGGGAAGGGAGGGATGGGAATCAGAGGAAGTGTAGAAGAGATACATCTTATAAATAACAGTACCTTTCTTATTCAAGTTATATCAAAGCTCCATCTAAGGGAGCTAGTTATATAAAGGCAAGACTGTGACAAATCACAGACAAAGGCAGCAGTTATTAAGCCTCACTTTTAAGAGTTGTGGACACTGTCCCATAAAGTCTGTAGCTTTAGTACATCTTGAGTGGCTTTAGATGTCCCCAAATAAACATTTAGGAGCTACTAAATGCTTCAAAATTCTCTGACTTGCAAGCAGCCTTTGAGATTGTTTGACATGACCTGCTGTCCTTCAACGGAGGCTTATATCCTGTTATGTTCAAAGATAATATTATTAGTTGTCATTTGCGTACATACTTTTGTTTCTGTCGTGGTGTGATGTGAAGCTTTGAAACTCCTCCAGAGAGTCCAAGAAACAAAAGAACAAGATCAGGGCTGCCAGGGTGATTTGGGGGAGCCAAAGGGAAGTAAAAGAGGCAGATAAAATCAACACAGTAGTGCCCCTCTGTCTAACCTGCAAAGAAATCCACTCACTCTGTGGACATAGGAGGAAAATGAGGCTGAAAGCAGTTTTCTGTAAAAAGCCAGCATATCCACAAGAGGCCACAGACACTTACGCCTCACTCAGAAAAGCCCTGTAAAGTTCACAACATGGTACAGACATCAGACAGAATCTACACGCCACCATTTACCTTTAAATGTTCAATGGATACATTTTCCAGAAGACCATACTTACAGACTTTCTACAGACATTTTTAGGCAAATGACCTGGTCCCAGCACCATAATGAGGCCGGGGGGGTAGGGGGGGTGAGGGGGTGGAGGGGGGTGTCATAGAGGCCTAAGGATTAAGTGCTGCTGCTGCTTGGTGGGATTTCAGCTCCTTTGAGCTTAATGGAGAGCAATTGCTTAGGATGACCTGGGAGAAACCTGCATTTGTTATCTTGCACATGATTTTTCTTCAAACATTTAAATCACAGATCTATATTATTGCTGGGACTGCAGGGGTATTTAATGAACTCTGCCCTGAGTCTCTTCATCCAAAAAAACTGCCTGGTCATACACAAATCACACAAGTGAAACTCAACTGCTGTCCACAAGCAACTACAAAACGTATTGCTCCTTTTTCTCCCTACGAAAGTCATTTATCTTTTCCCTCTTTGGTGCAGGATGTTCCTGCGATGGCACACTTCCCTCCTCTCCCCCATCCAAAGGATGCTAATGGGACAGACAGCACAGATAAAGGCACTTAGAGGCTCTTCAAAGCTAAAATGCTGCTGGCTTCATTCTGTGACTTCCTCCCATAGGCATTCAGCTCATTCCTTTCTTTGGGCTGCCAGAATTGGAGGTGCAAAAAAAACAAAATCGCAACACAGTTTACCTAAAGGTAGCTCCAGTCCTAAAATGCAGCAGAATTACTCAGCTTCTTACTGGTTTTTCACATCACTCCTGGGCCTTTAAGGTGTTTCCCTGCATCCTCTAGCTGTTCCCACAGCTGGCTTGTCATCATATGCACTGTGGATTTAAGGTTGAATTTAATATTTAACTTATTATCAAAACCTAGAGTTATTTTACCCTTGTAAGGGTAAAAAAGCATCAAAGATGGGCTCCAATAATGATTTGTTTCCTCATACCAAGTGATCTTATGCTATCTTCATAGTGTGGGTGATCTGCCTTCAGATTTTTTGAATGTTATGTTGGGGTTGAAGGATTAGAAGAATGTTACAACTTCCTCCAGAACTAAACTGGTTGCACTTATTTGTAAAACAGACTTGGGCATTCCTTGTAATTTCAGTAAGGCAATTTTCAATTGAAAGTGCTAGACTTCTAAGATGATGATGCTATTTAGAGATAATACTATATAGTAAACCCAAGTTTGCTTCTAGGTTTCTATTACCAGCAAAATATGTTTCACAGGACTTACAAAAACCTCATGCTTTCCTTTTTTACCTCCCACAGTGTAACTCTTTGCTAGGCAAACTGTCAGTTCATAGCTAACCGCATATAAGTTCTCACATTGTGGGGACCCAGCTGTCATCTATGCTAAATGCTCACAAAAAAGCTCAGTTGTTTTTCTCCTTAGAATTATAAGGTGGGCTAACAAATGCTGCCTTTGGGCTATGAAGTTGTAGCAAACACATTTCCATTAATATTAGCTTCCTGAAACTCTTATTTTCGTCAACACATTTGTTCTTTTCTTCATTCATAAAATTTTAACAAGCAGCTGGAGTCTTGTGGGTGGCCTAGAAAAAAAAAAAAAAAGCAGGCCAGCAGTTTACCTAGTGGAACAGAGAAAAAGTAAAAATAAAGACCAACTCATCCCCGTTTTTTTAAGCAATCATTACCCCAGAATACACAAGTACTATTAACTAAAACCACCTTGCACACTGGGAATAAGCAGGGTAAATTCCCGTAAAAAGTAATTATCAAATAATTTCAAAAACGATTTAATAAGGGGGTTTTTAAAAGGCATCTCCAAACAAAAACAAAGATGGAAAGGCCCCATTGTTTCATTTTCCCTGGTTTAAAACAATGAAAATCTACTGATAATCAATGAAGATGTTCCAGTTCATATTCATGTAAAGAAAGGAACCTTCACACACCCCTGCAAATTTAATGACAAGTAAGCACACAAAGCAATTAAGACTCTCAGTTGAATATGGGACTAATTTAACAAAGCATCTATCCAGCAATTCACTGATTAATTTCATCATTCATCTCAGCAGAAATAAATCATTGTCATCAGTTAAAAGAACATTACATAGTACTAACAAAATACAATTTATTTTAGATAATGCTACTCTAATTTGCTTTGATTTTATTGTTACATTGCTAATGCATTAATTTTTGCCCACTCTCTGCCAAAGACATTAATCAGCAGCCAAGTTCTTACTGGGAAAAATTACAATATTCTGCCTGATTTAATGCTGAAGATGTCAAAAACATTGAAAACACTGAGAACATAAATTAGAATAGATTTATTTTTTTTTAATAACCATCCTGAATTTGCAAGAAATGCTGTGGTTTTACTGTCCCTTTTGAGAAGGCAGAATCCTGATGAGAAGGGCGTTGTTCAACTGATTTTCTTAAGGAGCCAGCAAAACCCTGAGAGTTAATGAGAAGCCAGATTCTGGTCTTAACAAAATATTTTCTTGCACCTTTAGGATGCAGCTGATACGTTAAAGGTTAGCTCTCTATGTGTAGGATGCAGCTGATAGGTTAAAGGTTAGCTCTCTATGTGTCAACCATAGGCAACTGGCCTCAGCTTTTTACGCTGTCAGACATGGCAGGGTAGAGAACACTCCTTCTTCATTGTTTACAAACCATCACCGGTCTGATGGGCCTTTT